CCCTAAGCACCCACTGTGCCACACTGAGACAGAACACCGGGTTACGTTGACCCGTTCTATGCTGTCGGTAATAGCTGTGATGCTTCACGTGCCTTGAGTGCAGCTCCAGGGTCTGTGGAGAGGCGTCTGCACTCTGTTGCTCAGCTTTTTGTCTACTCTTCACTCTGTTCAGAACCAGTCAGTGCGTCGTGTTACCCTGAGGCTTGTAGGGCCAGATGTGCATATTTGCCTTCCGCAGCTCCTCACTCCCCATGGATTCTGTATGACTCCCAGGTGTCTTTAGGATGTTTCCTTTGTGGAAGAGGCTGAACGTTAGTTTTACGATTTCCTCCAGGGGTATCGCCAGAGCAAACTCATGAGTTTCTGAAAAAACTGAAGTGGGGAGACATCCACCCCCTCTGCTTTTAACTGCTGGAATGGTGAAGACACCTCAGATCAGTGGAGTTATCTCTGCATTTTATTCTTTCGAATATATACATAAATGTGCATGCACAAATGTTGTGAAGGGCATTTTTGCTCAAGGCAAATGTTTGCCATTGGTTTTTCATCAGAGCCTCGTGGTTAACTTAGCAAATTTCTTTTTTTGTCATTAAAGAACTGTATGCCAGGTGTGTAAAACTGCTTCCATTTCTCCAGCAGTTTTGCAAATTCAATTCCTGCAAGTATGCTTTATTTGTTATTTCTTAGAGTAACAATTTGCATCTTCAGCCTGAATAGCTCTTCGGAAAGGATACACACGATGTGAAGTTTCCAGCAGGAAAAAAGGAGTGTGAGCAATTTAAATGTGATTCTGGGTGTTCAAGTTATCACGTGATTTAGACGGCTATTGCTAACAGGGCACTATATGTATTTTGACCAAGGAAGAGCACTGATACAGCACTAGTCACACCTGCAGTCAAATTTTCTTATAGCACAAACTACTTAGTGTCTATAGCTAGGCCAAGTATAAATATGGCTTAAACGTGGTTCTTCGCCTAGGTAGGCAAGACATAGACTAAATGAAAGTAAGTAATTGGAGGAGATGGTCATTTCCACTCACTTAACAATAATGTGACATAGAATCATAGACTCATAGAATCATGGAATCATGACTTATGACACAAGAAGTATAGATGTGCCTCCGGTCTAACAAATCCCAAAAATAGATTTATTTCCACAAAATGAAACAGTAAAACATATACTTGCAGTATTCCTCTAGCTGAGCTTTTACCATGTCAGGGTATACACCATACAACCAAATATGCCCATTTAAGTGTAGATGGTCTTTATAGTTAGGCAGATGACTGCACCTAACTACTGTATCGCTGCACCCTGCCTGTGGCAGCCTGTCAAGAGTAATTCCATTTCTTCTGTATAACATAAACCAAGAAGATAGATAAAATTATTTTCTGCTTGCTTGTGTAAGTGAGCATTTGGTTGCTTTTGCTCTCCAAACCACCTTCTCCCCGTGCTTTTTTTCATTATTTGCACTGACTTTTGAAGTAAAATGCTTTGCATTACTCCAGGTTTCTGCCCAGTTACAGTATTACTGTGTTGAGTATCAACACAAGGTGTTACCAAAGTAACTTGAGAAAACACCTTGAGACACCATTTTGCCCCTTACAAGCAAGAAATCTTTCTGTCTTTGTAGTGTTCATTTTCATGAGAAATTGCAGAGCCATTTTGTAGAGTCATCATGGTTAGCTAGTTTCAGTGTGCTACTATCAGCATCCAGATTTTTTTTCCTTTCCTTTCAGATCAAGCCTTTTTCAAGATAATCAGCCAATTATTTGGCAGTTTTCAAGCTTTCCTAGCTTGTTTCTCTTTGACAGCTTCACTGCTGACGGTGAGTCTCCCACAGATAAACAGGAGTCCAAAACACATCTCAGATCTACAAACATCTACATGCTGGCAGTCCTAAAACACCAGTATGTCGTTATGGGGCTTCATGAGACACATGTTGATGGGGACTACTGCCAGTGCAAGGGCATTTTACTAGCGCTAGGAGAGTGCTAGCTGGAGGCCTTACCTCGATTCAGAAGCCAACAGGAGCCCTGACATAGTTTGAAGTACTGTCAGGGCTACTCAAACCTGTAACATCGAATTGTGGCCCATTGATGCCAAGGGGGGCAGCATGAAGGGGCCCGTTGATGCTACTGAGCAGTGAGACCAGGACTCAGTGAGTCTCTCCTCAAGCTTTGCTGTGCTTCAGTATTGTGTGGCTCTGCACAGCTCCTGGAGGAACTGCTGGTTTGCAGACCTCATTGCCATTATGTGTGTTATTTTCCTTGAGAAATACTCAACAGAGGCAGAGACAGGAAAACCAGAGGTGGAGAGAAGATTGGAGAGCCTTTTGTTCCAATTTATATGTAAGCCAAATAAAATGGGCTGGTTGATAAAAAATACTAATAAGAAATAGCTAAGTAAGTGCCTCCAAAATCTGTATGATTGATAGTACTAAAATTAGTACTAGTTTCCATCTAGGTTATATTAAGCAAAGCCAATTGCTCCACCAACAACATAAAAGATGAGGCAATAAATGACAGTAGTGAAATGTGCCAGTGATTGGAAGTCCAAAGTCATAGGAAGTGTGAGTGCAATCTAGTCCTGAGCAGGCTAAAATAAAGTCTTCAACACAATGTTGAAGCCTTTCTTAGGATGGGAGTGTTAGAACATTAAGGGATGAAAAGGGAAACACGAGCCATTAATGCCTTTCATGAGTGGTTTCTGCGTATTGCTAAAAATGCGTCTTTCTAGCTAACTTATCAGATTTTAGGAAAGAGACAACTTCTCTGGCTTTTACCAATCAAATAGGCAGCTAAATAGCAATTTCAGCAGTTTTTTTTTCTTTATCTTTCCATGAGCTTTTATCTGAAACCTTGCACCTTTATTCACTGTCTTCCTTCTTTTTCTAAATGTTACTGAGTTTATTAGTTGTGCTAACTTTAACACAAATGGAAAAGCTAGAGATTAATGGAATGGTGTGAAGTGCCAAAATTAGCATTTATTGACCTTTAGGTTAGTTTAGAGCTTCATTGTATTGCTCCTAAGATACAGATCCCAACTGATGTCCAGTATCTCCTAGTCCTGTGCCTAACTGGTCCCTACCTGGGTATGCTGTTGAACTTGGATAAGATTTGAGCGGGACGTTTTGAATACAAAGACCAAAAGGACTGAAGTTTCCAAAATGTTATTTCAATGGCAAGTAGCAGAGGGAAAAACAAACTGGTTCTGAGGTGGAGAACCAGTATTGGTTGTATTTTGTATTTTAATATGTTCCTGTGAAGTGATTGTTTATGATACGATTTCTTCCAAGACCAGGGAACTGGAATCAATAAAGCAGAAATCTGTTTTGCTGAATGTGAAGTAAAAGGGATAAAATTAAATCTTCCTGTAAGTTACATTTATAATCCTTAAGCACAAGTGCAGTTTGCTGCTCTTCCTTACTCCTTCTGAAGTATGGGGTCTTTTAGCATGGTTATGGCTGACTCTTAAAGCATGTGGTATGGTTCAAAGAGTTCTTAGGAAGTTTGCATTACAATTCAGAAGGTTTTCTTTGAGGAGAAGTGGGATATGGGGCTTTCTGTTTGATCTGTTATCTGTCTGATCACTCTCATGTAACTCACGCTATTCAAATAACTTGACTTGTGATTCTGCACAACACCACACAACAAATGACTTTAAACCAGTTGAAAATAGAAAAATAGAATAGTTTGTTCTCCTACTATGTTAGGAAAGTAAATTGTGTGAACGGAATTCGTGAATCAAATAAATTCATTAAACGTAATCTTCAATCTGAGCTCTATGGACATACTGAAAACAACGACGATGAAACCCACCATGACCTGTAACAAGGTCAGATTACTACAAGCGCTGCTCAGTATGTATTTTCCTCCTGCCCTTTTCACCTTCTCACCACTGATACACACGTTCCTCTCTATAGAACAGCTGCAAAGGCCAGAGCAGCTGACCCTTGCTAGTGGTTTTTTTTTTTATGAGCTGGTGGGCAGACCGTGCAGGAGCGCAGGGACATCGGTTCCCCTTGCCCAGGCACCGACTGTGTCTCTTCGCTGAGGTGAAGCCCAGTGCTGTGGTGTTAAGAGACCAGGTAAGTTTGTTCTGCACGTAGCCAGGTTATCCACATTGCCCAGATCCTCAAGGACTGATGCAGACCTTACCAGTGACTTCTCTTTCTGGAATTCAAGATCCCACAGTCATCCGTGCACTACGTAGACATGCTGGGCTGCGTATTTAGCCCTCACAACATAAGCCCTGATGGAGACATGGGCCTGGTGCCAGGCAGCAAGCATAGTCCTGTGTGGTGACAATGCTGGTCTCACTTTCCAGCTGTTTTGGACCATTCCTTGTGTCTTCTGTCATAGGAACATAGCACTGGAAGTGCTGGTTTGACTTTTAAAGTGCATGACCTCCAAGGTTGCTTATGATAGTTAAGGCCACAGGGATGTGCTTAAGGGATCCCTCCCTGTCTTTTTTTTATCCCCTGGTTCATATGATACTAATCTTGCTGCCCGTATTGAGAAAACATAATAGCAGCTATAAACAGTTGCAGGAAAAAAGGAGAGAAAGGTGGGAGGGCATGGAGAGGTGAGAAGGAAGATGGTTGTTTCTCAATTCCTTTGTGTCCCTTCTTGCTGGATTTAGAGTTGTCTCAGATCCGCTGGCCTCTAAGCAGCCTTCTGTATAACACTTAAAGGTTAAAGAAAAGCAGGACTGAGAGTGAATTTAAGTATTAGGAGAGAATGGAATTTCTAGCCCATGCCTGAAACTTCAAGGCTTACCATAATTTATACAACAACAACATGACCTAGAAGCAACATTTCTTGGTAACTTCAAAGCACTCTGCAAACACAATTACTCTCGGTGCTACCTTATTCAACTGCAAAAACTGCTATAAATCATCTTTAATTTATAGTAAATTTGGTAGAAGAACAGCTGAAGAGATAAAGTTTGGGGTTTGATGGCAGTATTTAAAAAGGGGAGATGCAAATGTGAAAAGCACTTGGCAGATTTACTGCCTTGACAGAGGTCCAGATGTTAAACCGTAGCCCTTCCAGGAGGACTTCATGCTGTAGGAAGCCACTTGTTTATCTCCCCTTAATTTAGAGGCATTAAGCATTGTTCCAGGACGATGAATTCCACTGAATAAGTTCAACTGTGCCAGCATTGCTTAGACATCTCCAGCCAGGCTTGCACGTCCCTCTGAAATAATGAGTCTGAAGAGTCTCCCTGATCATCAGGAGCCATAAAACCTTTATAACAGCCAAAAGAGTTGAGCTGGATCCTTGCTCCCAGGATAATATTCTCTTAATTGCTGGCCAGGTTGGATATCTCTGCATTATCTTTCTCTGTGATCCCAGAAGGCAACGAGCAAATGGGGTAGTGTTCAATACTTTACAAGTAGCAATGCACATACATACAACTTTAGGAGGAGACAAGCCTGTAATGACGTACATTGGCAGGTTGCTGTGTGCAAAATTCAGAACTAGGTACACAGAAGACAGAAAAAAAAATTGGGGAACTGTAGAAGATAGTTGCAGTTATCCAATTTTTCATTAAAATGCTTTGAATCCTGTCCTGAGGAATACTGACCAAATATTAGCTAAAGAATAACATGCTATACCTCCCAAATCATTTCCAAAGGTTAAAAATATTACTAATATACAGAGTGATCGCAATAGACATTTTAAAGTCAAAATGCTGTTAGTAAAGCCAAACAATTTCCTAAGTAGAAAAAAAGCATTTGAAAAATACTTTAAACTGAAGATCTCTTTAGGATCCAGAAGTCTTTCTAGAACCATAAAGTATAAATGATCAGCAAATAATCAGCAGTTATGATCACCAAGCAGCAAATATAGGCCACTGATTGAAGAGATTCCTTGTTATTTTGCTCTACTCTTACTGCTGTATCCTTCAAAGAGAAGAAGAGAGTGTGTCTGTTTTGGGAGGAAGGGATTTGGATTTATTTTTTTAACATCTGCCAGATGAGAAATATAATTAAAATGAAGTGTGATGGGACATAACTAAAGATAGGACTCTCTGTGTGTTCAGCTGTGACTGTAAGAAGCACAAAAATGAGACAACAGTATTTTTAATGATATTTGGAGAAGAAAAGCCTCTAAAATACCTAAGCAGTTGTGGCATAAAACTGGCTAATTTGATTTTGTTTCTTGTTCAAAGCATCGAGCAGGGTTTTGTGTGTTTGATTGTTTTAGCTTTAAAGTGCTTGTGTTGCTTAAGAAAGCAGTGTCAAGTAAAGGCCATTCAGTGAGTTTGCTTGTTAAGTATTCCTACTTTTTTAAATTGAACAGAGAAGAAAATTCCAGAGGGGGTTGAGATGCTCTTTTTCAGTTCTTCTTAATCCATGATGTTGGAGGAAAGGAATGATACGATCCAGACCTTATAAACTGGCCCATTTTGTAATCTACTTCTTCATGATTTGCCCAAAAATGCTCATATGCTTCGCATATTAATCTCCACTAAGCAGCTTGACTTTTAATAGACTTGCGTTCTGCTTCAGCGCTTATTCAGTAGACAGATATCTACAAATATGGAGCTTTTGGAGTATCAGCAAGTCCAAGCATTCACCGCTGAGCTGGGTCGTGATCTCGTTGGACACCACCGACGCGTCCCCAACAAAGCGGTGGTGTTTCCTTGCCCCCCTTGCAGCTAGTTTGCTGCTCCCTGCCCTGGTAAGCACAGACAGACCAGAAACTTCAGCCAGTCATTAAGTAAGTGCTCAAGCCGATGCAACGTAGCGGCTATACTGAGATACAACGATACCTCTGCAAAGTTAATGTTTTCAGAATTACTGCTTTTGCTGTATTTTATGTAACCTGACAGAAAGGCAGAATGTAATTTATTTGAGAAAGGTGAAAAAAATTTGAAAATTGGAAATTCATCTTGGTAGTTCAATAGTCAAAGCATTTGAATCACTCAAATGATTCTCTGAAAAAAAAAAACATTTCCACACAAATCCCAGCTCTGCCAGTTTATGTACCATATAATCAATTCAGATAATTTTTTTTTTTGCCACTTGGAAAACAATACTGTACTCAGTCTTCATGTGGTACTACCAAAGCTGTCGTGCACATCCACCTGCCTAGACAGTGTTTCATGTATATGGGTCCCTCAATAAAGGTTCGTAGCCTGAAGGTTGAGAGCGTGGGTTTTACCCCATCTAATACCATTTCAGGTGCTCAAGCACATTTTTGCGGTTCCTGCTAAGATACTTGTCACAAAACCTTCTGACTCCGAGCTCCACAGATTAATCTTGCATGGGAAGAAGATCCCATCCCCAGGACTTGCACCCATCTGAACGGAAATAAGCAGATTTCACAAGATCTTCACAACTTCTGTCAAGTTGCTGCAGGATCACAATCTTTACCAGTTTAGATTATACTCAGTGTAACACTTTGCTAGATATGTGCTCTACCTAATGCTTGCTTTTTATCTTGGGTAATTGAACACACACAAGGTAACAGTGGGAGGCTTATTATTCTTATTTAATAATTTACTATTATTATTTTCCAATTCTACAGTTAAGAAGGGGGATTTATATATGTAAGGTGTTTGTCAGTTTTTCTTCCTTATGTCATGGGTTATATCTCTTCTCTTTTAGGCTGTGCTGAGTCCTCTTATAGCCATTGCACTGAAAATATCTCAGATCCACGAGAGGACGGGGCGAAAGGGACCCACCGTCATCACCTGAAGGCACAAAGGATCATTAAACCAGGGCCAAAAGGGGAACAGCAAGGAAGAGACAGGACCTTGCTGAAACTCGTTAGCTGTTTGTGCCTTGTATGATTTTTAAAACTTTTCTTGGGGATATAGGGAGGGTGGGAAGAACAATTCAATATAGTTTTGAGCATATTCAGCTGCATTGGTCTCCAGAGACAGTAGTGCATTGACTTCCGCGTTAGACCTGCAAAAACTTTCTTTCAGATAACGAAATAACCAAAGGAAAAAAGGCCTTGACTCTCAAGTGCTGTCGGCAGCGCGGCGGGAAGGGCGGCCTGCTCCTTTCCGCGCGCTGCTGATAAACGTGTGGGGATTCCCAGGTCGGGGGAGAGGCGGGGGGTTGCGCTGCAAGCCCTTGTGGTGGATTTTCATGGGGATTCTCGCCACCTCCTCGCTGGTTTACAGAGGCGCGCGCAGAGCACGAGGCTTTGCAAGAGCGTTTCCCAAGCCCTGCTCGCCTCCCAGAGACACGGCTCGTCCCGCTTCCCTCCTTTCCATTCACCCCCGCTGTGAGACCGTGTCCGTGTCACTCGGGCCTTCAGGTTTCCCTGGTCTGGGCGCTTCTTCTCCTCCAAAGAGAGGCGGTAGAAGCCGAACGTGTCCTTCTGGCCATGTGTTGGGTGTGAAACCTCGGCCGTCTCTTGCAATATCCATCATGTCAGCAGATCGTGTTGCTGCTTACTGTGCTCAAGAGGCAACCACGCTGGTTTGTCATAACGGAGTTTCATAAAGCAGGGTGGAAGTTTCTTTAAAATCTTTGGAATACTCAGTCCCACTTACCACAAATGAGTGTATAGCGAAGGCAGAATGAAAATTAACACTAATGAATTATTTGCTAGCTGGACTCAGCTTCTCTTAGATTCTTTGTAATAGTGAATAATGGAACAAAAAGTTGGGAAGTGCAAAGTGAGAAGAGGTGGCCCAACATAAACCTGAGAAGGACACGGAGGGGCATGGACACCAGTGTTTTTCTGCAGTTCTTGCTACAGTATTTTGCTCTAAACAAGAACACAAACACTATATGCATGTGACTTGTTTGACGGTTTGGCTTCCTTGGGAACAGTGTGGTCACTTGTTTTATCATTTGTCAAGGTGGCTTTTTGCAACTGGCCTCTTTGCAGTGTGTTTCAATTCATTGCAGTTGTTGACTTCTTAGTGCAATTTAGATAATGTTGCAGTGAAGGAAATAATTGTTTTCATTTCTTTCAACACTTCTGTCAAAAAATGCTATGACATTTACTACATAATAATAAAGTGGAATGCTGTATTGCTGTATTAATTAATACATGATTGCTGATGAGAGACACTGCACTTTTAAGCATCCTAATAAAACTGCCTTTAATACAATTACATTATCTACTCGATTGACTCTAAATGGATGAGAGCGATGTTTTCACAAGGTGTTCTGCTTTACCAGTAAGTGTTCCTATATGCCAAAAGATTGTTCAAGGTTTCAGTGCTTTTTGTATATAGTTCTTTAGAGAAGGCCTCTGTGTTCTCACATGATTTGGACATGTGAGACTTCCTATTCCCAGCATGTTTTCTTTGTCAAGGTCTGAAGTACCTTTCCAGATGCAATGGGAAGACTCACGGAGAACAGATCAGAACTAGAGTTAATCAGGGTTTTCACCAGCAGGTCCCTGTTTCTGGTGCTGCGTTCGGGGAGGACAGTGACCATAACCTCATTGAACGTGCTGGGGGCACTGAGATGCTCTTGTTACTAACACAAGAATTCAATACTTGGGCATTCACGATGTGAGTGGAAAGAGTAACATGGTCAGCTTACACACAGACTCAAGGCTTCTCAAAACAGAACATTTCAAGCACTGTTATTAATACTAGGAGCTGTGACCGAGACCCAGACTCTTTTGTAGCTACTGCAAGGTTAGGAATAGGGAGCTGCAAGGTTCCCATGCCCGTGAGCTGTGATTACACAGGCGGTTACAGTCCTTCAGTTTTACCAAAAACTGAGGTGTTCTGGGTCCGGTGGTACCAAGACATATTCCCAGCACGTGGGATGGGGAGAAGGCAGAGGGAGAAAAAAGGACAAAGATGAGTTTCGAGAGACCAACAAGAGTAATAGCGATACCGATATCAAGGAGCTTTAGCAGGGGATTGACCAAAGTGGGGCTTGGATGGGTCTCAGGATCAAAGAAAAATGCAGTAAATGGTGGAGAGGGTAGGAATGTGGGGGATAAATTGCTATATTCAGCTGAAGAGAGATGATAATGAGGAGCAGATGGAGGAATGCTGGTGTGATACCACCCGCAATGGATTTGAGAGCTAGAAAAAAGAGAACAAGACGTGCAAGTAAGAAGGAGGCGTAGTTAAAGGTCTGATACTGTGCACTGCTAAAGAAAATCAAACAAGTTACCGCGTTTAACTGTGCGTAATTTTTATATTCCCATTTGTTGGCTGTGTGATGTAGTAACTGCCTTCATCATTCAAAATAAACACTGGGTGGATCTGGGGAAAATGAACCCAAACTGGGGGCGATGTGAAAGGGTGTTCTGACTTAGCTTTCCACAACAGTTCACAAAAGTGCAATGTCTGACACCAAATTACTTGAAAACAGTGCAAGAGCGAAGTTATGCTGAGCCGACTGCAAGCAACAAACTGTTTGTTTGGAGCAGTCTCATATGGGGCATGAAGATGAGCTCTTTATCACAGACACTTCTCATTTCAGCTCTTCAGCCTCGTGTGGCTTGAGCTAAAATATAAAATACCAGTGAATTCACCTGCCAACACAGCTAAATAAATATTACTGACACTTCCTTTGGGCAGAATGTCCTTCTGTATGAAAGCTCGTATCGGGATGAGAAGTACACTGAGTCTGAGAACAATTTGGAGGGTAACAACACTGACCTAAAAGTACCTGATCTGTTCTGGAGCCTTGTTTTGATTTGTTCAGGTCCCTGAGGAAAAAGAAAATTCATTTTAACCTAAAGCTCTCAATGGCTATTCATGCCAAATATGAATTTATGCTAGGAGGTATGAGCAATACAAACCATCTAAAAGCTTTCCCCGCTTTACAACTGTTGATGTTTCTGAGCTAATCGCCCACACCGTTTTCCATTAAGCTCATCACCAAATAGTTAATCTAGCTTAAAGGAAAAAAAAACTTTTAGATGAAAGGAGCCATCCTGCGCCTGGCATGAAGGACAGCTATGAGTTCAGGTCTGTGTTGGTGGGACACTTGGGAGCAGGAAGTGTCTTTCCATGTCCTGGTCACACATATGATCCAGCATGAAAAAGATGAATATGCAGAACGCTGCTTCCCTGCTGAAAGCCACTAAATCACCAACAAGAACATGGGATCGCTGGAAAGCTGCAGCAGTTCCAGCTCTCTGAGCTGCCTGCAGCCCTGATTGATTGCTTCCCACTCACGTGGGCTCACGTTGAAGGTTACGTGGAGGAAAATGTAGACACCCACAGACAGAAAGGATTGATTCCCACCAGGATTCCGCTGTTTTTCTGGCTCATCAGCCTTGCCTGATGTGACGGATCCCTGTGCAGAGCCCACAGCCCTGGAGCAGGGCACTTGTGGCTGCAGGTACAGAAGTGCTGGGAGGTAACACATCGACATAATTTTGCCAGTTTTACTCCTTATTTCAGAGATTCTTTCTTTTGTGTGCACTGTTTTCCTTTTAATGTGCTTCTCCCCCTCTTTTTATCATCTATGTTTTTATTATCTTCCTTTCCCTGTGGTTACTCTAGGTTGTTTTATCCTGCTTTTCTTTTCTTTTTTTTTTTTTTTTTTGAATCACCTGAAGGTTTACATCCTTTCCATAGAGGATGCAAATGTTTGGATGGAAAAAATGATTCGACGGTCTCATCCCTGGTCTTAGCCACTCTTTCTACCACCACCCCGGCTTGCATTTCTAATATAAATAAAACCTTAATGCTGAAGTTGGTTAAAGGTAGCTCAGAGGAGTGATGCAGAGAAGGTTTTTCCTGCTGCAACTAGTTCCCTTTGAGAGGTTGGGTGCAAACCAGGGTGGTTGTGTTAGCATTTAGCAACTGTGTTTGACACTGCAATTTTTGAGTGCGCTTACCCTGAATCATAAACAAGCACAAGGCATTTGTCTTAAATACAAAATTTATTAGTGAATATAACAGTAAAATACATGTTAAATGGTCATGATAAAACGAACAGCTTCAAAAACTCATGATACAAAAATACTCCTCTTCTCTCAGTATTTCCTGGCACTGCTGGAGCTCTGGACAGCAAAGGCAGAGTTTGTACCAAGCACCGTCCCCTGCGGGTGCCATGACGGCATCACGGTGCCGTTCCGCAGGTTTGGCCTGAGAACCGCGCTGAGTTTCAACGCGCCGAGCGCCTTTTCCCGCAGGCCCTCACGAGCCGCCGTGGCCGGCGCGTTTCCGAGGCCGTTCGGCTCCGAGTGCGGCCCCGGGGAGCACGGGCGCCGCGTTCCTGCACCCCTGCCCGCCTCACAGGCCGGGGGCCCCCGCTGCTGCCTTCGGCGTACGGAGGAGGAGGAGGAGGGAGCCCGGGGCCTGCTGTGTCTCCTGGTGGGGAGGCCACCGGCAGTGGGAAGTTCTGCTTCTCCGGGTCTATGCTGTCCGCGTAGGATGGGGGGCAGCAGTCGGGCCTGTGAATCCAAATAAAACACTCTCAAGGCAAAGCAAAGCGAAGCAAAATGGTGTCTGCCTGGGAGCGCTTGGTTCGGCGCTGTGGCCGCTGCCTTCCCACCTCTTTGCTGAGGCTTGGCCTGCAAGGGGAGACCTGGCTTAGCAGGATGAGGGCAACGGAAGGTGTTGGGTTCCGGGTACATCTCAGTGCGATGGCTGGGATCACGGCCACTGGCTTTTTCCAATATGTTCTAATAAAACACTGAATTCCAAGGGGGAAAACCCGCTTTCCAAGTTTCCACCTATACATGGCTCACTGCGATATTTCAACAAATGCCCAAGAAAAGCTTTATTCCAAAAAAGACATTATTGCCTGAAGTAGATTAAATAATTATTATTAGAATAATGACTGCTTTCCCTGTTAGCTAACCCAAATTGCCATGCGTTGCAATGGCAGAGCTCCCAGAGCATCCCT